AAGTTTTAGAACTACTTACACACGGAACCAAACTAATATTTCAACAGCGAATAGTTTCAAATGTCGAGTTCGAAACATTCGATGTGTCGCCTTTCTCAAACGGCCCAAAGTAATGTTGAATGAAGGGGCACGCTTGATATTGCCGCTAAGTATGTGGTGGGAAATAAAAAGGGGGCAAAGAGGCTTAGAGGGCTTTACGCGGCTCGCGAGTGCCAAGTTTTCACAGAGTTATGCCCTTACAGCTTGTTTGTTCACGTGCCATTTCCTATGTGATTAAGCGGTGGATTTTGGATGATAAAGCTGAGATGGGGATATCGCGACTGTCGAGGTATGAAATCGTGAATAAATAGTATTATTTGTTTAATGGTGCTGCTTTTAGAGAGAGTTTTATTACGATTATTTATATAGGCATACCATATACATTTCTGAAGAATCTTTCTAAACAATAAAATAATTTAAAATTAAGTTTACTCTTGTGTAAAATTATTTTTTATAACAAAACTTTAAAAGTACTGTAAAAATATGTTCACACTTGCACAAGAAACTTAGGACTTAGTTTAACAAGAAACTCATTAAAAGTCTCTCAACACTTTAGCTTCAAAGTAAAATTACCCGACAAATTCAATATTTTGCATGCAACACGCGAAAGCTGAGCGTAATGCAATTACATTGCGACACGCCCTTAACAAATGTGCGCGACGGAAAATCGTGCGCAGTCGGCGCCAACATTAAGAAAACTGCACAGCTCACTAACAATAAGATGCCACGACATTATAACTATCAGTTATATTAAGGAATTTTCGAAAGGAGTTTATAAATATTAATTAATGTACCATTATTTAAAAATAGAATAATACTAGAACACTGAAATATAATACAAATACATAGAAAAAAAAAAAAATGAAAACTGTTAAAATCGCTTTGCCAATTAATAAACTTTTTTTACCGTTTTGATTTGTTATTTTAATTTTTAAAGTTTTATTCTTCTATTATAATTCATCATCATCATCCCCCATCGCCACAACACCGTGACAACCAACGGCTCGTTGGTCGTCACGGCTGGAGGCTCCACGTGCTGGTAATGCCGCCGTGGAGGTGCTCCAGCCGGTCTTCGTCAGTCAGGTCAGGCAGGGCGGCAGAAAAAAAAATGTTTTAAATCGTCTCATATGTAACAATAGCAACAATCTCTATTTTGTTCAATATTTAACAAAAAAGTATAGTATACCTCAGCCTATGCTTGTCCACTGCTGGACATAGGCCTCTCCCAATGATAAATGTAATAAAATGATACCTATCGAAAAACTATTATAATATGCCTGTGCTGATCTACAACCCCGTTTCCAATGGGTTCAGATCGGCACAGTTAATATATATTGAAAAATAAATTTCAGCTATCAGTTCGTAAACATTCCATAAAGTTTTAAAACATTTGAAGAAAATTTAATAACTTCATTTCCTCAATACATATCCTCATATAAGAGAAAATATTCCGTTCTCAAACAATTTAGCCATGGTGGCCAATTCAAAATTAGTTACTTCACTGAAAGACAACGTAACAGATCTTCAATAGACTATAACTCAACTAATAGAGAGTAGGTGAGTGGAAACTCGCAGCCGGCGCCACTTTATTAATACCCGGAACTGTGCCTGATAAATTATGACATCACTTAATCACAAATCCGCCATTGGTCTTAATAGCAGCCGAGACCGAAAATCATTGATTTATAATAAGACTAATTTTAATGGGATTCATCCAATCGCCTTTTTGTCGTAAGTATTTTACCGTCGAATTTTTAAATAGGTTCTACTCGATCAGTAATAACATTTGACAACGTGAGGATATGCGGGGAGGTCATTGCTTCGCTTAAGATTATGTCAAAAGGCCACCAAGAAAAGCGAACGCTTGCTGAGAACCTGGCGGAAAGGCGGAGAATACTGTCGTTGAGGGTCACAAATTGGTCGATGAAACAATGGTGGCATTAAGGCGGTGCAACATCTTCAACCAAATTTCTCAACTAGTGCATTTGTCAAGAGCATTGTCTCTCTGACATTACTTTAATAATTATGATGACAATTCTAAGGGGACGATATATTTTGCATTGTTACACAAAGTACTAAAATGAATATTTTAAGCCTAAGTTGTTGATCAGTTTTATAGTAATTTGAACTAATTCTTTTCTCAAACTAGATTCTAGAATTTACATTTGTAATTTATTCTATTTATTTAGATATATATTTAGTTAAATCACATTATTCCTCCATTATGAACCAGATTTTAATACTCTAAGCTAAATAATCCCTGAGAAAAACGATACATAAACATAACCTAAGAGGTTTTACTAAGAAATCTACTGAATAAGTAATGTATCATCAATTTTTGTTAAGAGAGCAACCGAGTCGATCTAAATTTTACCTGCCATTGAAACCTAGGAGCATATGGGGATTCATTTGATGTTAAACAACTATCGGATGTAATAGAGTATCGATAAAATCGGTTACAGTGCAATAGTTTTAACAAAAACTCCTGCTCTTGCACTATAAAGGGGAAAGAAATCTCCAACCTCATGAATACACATATATAATTCAGCGTAATATTGCACCAGTGTTCCTTGCAATCGTCGCCTCACAAACGTTCTCCGTCCGATAATTAAGATAAATAAGTAAACAACGGAACTAAAATTGCGATTGTATCGCGAGTAAGAGGGTATCTGAGTCAGGTCTCGTAAAATATGCACTGTATCGAGTGTTCCGCAGTGCGGCAAGCGACTGTCTGCGACTACGCGACTCTCGAATTTAACATGCCGCAACGTTGACTCCGTCAAAGTAAACAACGACGCTTAGCTAAGCCAGTTTTGCAGTTTGTCGTTTGGTTTTAGGATTGTCACTGCTTTTATCTGTTTGTCTATCTGTAGTGTTCTCCCAAACTATACAATTATAGAAATAGTAGCTTAGTAGTTTGGGTACGGATAATTCGGCTTTATTTATTTGTTTTGCTAACCCCGACGCAGAGTTAGTTCAGCGTTAGGTACAGCCACACTCTGTGTGTACTTATGTGTCCGTATCATATTAACAGATAGATTTAGTATTTTATTTAAGTAGTTATTTACTCGGGCGTGCCGTGAGCTATAATTGAACACCTTATAAATTATCGGTAAACTCTTGAAAGCTTGTGGTCTTCAAGTTTTAGCCATGCTTTTCTTAGTAAGTCTTCGCCAGTTTAAATAAAAATTAAGTAGATCATCAAAATAACAAAGGTACTTGGTTTGTTGCATAGAGTTTAGAAACAGCTAGGGTTTTCTTATGTTTTTTAATCGAAGCTCTTGTGATCCTAAGGTTTACTTTTAACATCGAATAAGAAGAGTTACAGTTTGGCACCATCCCTAAATATAAGTAATACCTACAAGTGATTTTGAAATGCATTGGGTAAAAGAAGATATTTGTTTTCATTTTTATTTTACTATCTATTTAAATAGAAACACCTAATGTAGAGATGTATCTCTCTTCAAATTTGCAATAAAATATAAAACATTAGCACACTAGGTACATCAAGTGTTGCAAAGAAAACTTATGAATGAAAAGTAAAACGTTATTAAGTTTAGTGAGGCTTTACAGTTCTGTTATACACATAAACCCTCATGAAATTGCCGTAGAGAATAAGGGGCGAATAATGTTTCCAGAAAATAAAAGCTACCATTGAGCATTTACCAATAAAGACACGAATTCTTGTACGAAGTTTTTTATTAACTTTAATGTGCAATTTTTATTTCTGTTAAGTATTTAATAATTAAGTAATTTTATGAAATAAATTACAATCAGGCTCGAGTCAATAAATTATTTAGAACAAAAGGTTTGGCATAGTGAAGAAACGAAAATTGGTTCTGAATTTTTTCTTATTCACGTAATATTTCAACTTTGCTAAATGTTTCTTTAAATATATTATGCTACAAACCAAGTACAGGATAAAGTGAAACAAGATACGAATAGGTATGAGTGTAATAAGCCACTAAATGTTGGTGGTGTGTGCTGAATTCAATTTCCGTTAAAGTTAGAAGTAAATTTATACTACAGTTCAATCCATTCCCGACCAATAACCTTAGTTGGGAGCGGCATAAATTTCACGTGGATATAGTAAAAGCAGCCTCAATAAACTTTCTATTTTAGTTTTATTGCCTTTGCCAGGTAGGAAATTTGTAAAACAACTCGCTTCTGCCCAATATATCAACCGTTCGGACATATAAATGATAAGCTACTTGAATTTTAAAACTTATGAACGTTTATTATTCAAAGTTGATACAACTGGAATTGGGCTCTATGAAAATATTTTTTGCATTAATATAGAACTCGCAGATCGATATCGCATTAATATTTAGGCTGTTGAGTCTGATAACAATGGACACATTATGTCATCGATCTATTTAATAAGTTAATTTTTTAAGTTTCTATTAATTCACACGTAGTTCGTTTATAAATTCTAACCGAAGATTTGTACTAAATTGTTTATATCAAATATTAAACAATTTAGTAAAAATCTTCACATAAAATGACATTGATGCTGATGAAGGATAAAAATTATCGGTAGTTGTCTAATTATGTTGTTTTGATAACATATTTTTTATAACTTAGTTCTACAACTTGTCGATAGACGGCGTTGATCTCGTGTTCTGAATCACGTTATTAAAATATACGAACGGGTATTCTTAAAGGTATAATATTAATAAAATCGTATCTCTGTTCTGAGTGTTGTGTTTTATTTTGGGAATGTTATCGGAAGTGTACAGTAGTAATAAATAGGTAATGCTGACTACCACCTGACCCGTACTTTCAAGACTGTGTTTGTTCGTCTTTTTTTAATGATAGTAGATAATTTAATAAAGCTAAAATAAATGGATATGAAGTCATTCAGAGTAAAATAAAACCAAGGTTCTGGTCTCCTAACGAATGCCCCTGTTTAGGTTGTAAATACGAATAAAGTAACAAATCATAATGTTCTTCTTTCCCAGGTGGCATGGATCCACATCGATAGACAGATGATCCTAACAATTCACCGCCATGTGATCACTCGATTGGCCCGCTTTAGCGTCTCGCACGACAATGCGATGACCTGGTTGCTGCACGTGAGCCAAGTACAGCAAGAAGACCGAGGATATTACATGTGTCAAGTGAACACCAACCCTATGATCAGCCAAGTTGGGTATCTTCAAGTTGTCGGTGAGTTTCATCATAAAATTTGCTTTTGTGAGTTTGTTGGTATGAAGTCAATTTGTCATTACTTTTTACGCCTTATACTACGAGTAGTAAAACGAATCGAATCAGTTTTTATGAGATTGTGAGTGAAAATATTTATAAATCATATAACAATAGAAATAGAATCCGTGTGGTGACGGATTAAGAATACAGAGCGTCGCCACCTCTATTCATCCCGCGGGTGTCGTAAGAGCCGACTAAGGCAAAAAAACTACGCAGAACAACAGCACTGCAGAGAGGAAGAAAACTTGACACAAACCCTATACCAACCAATCTGGCCAGCGTGATATAGTAGGCCGAAACCTCCTTTCTAAGGAGAGGGCTATGTCCAGCAGTGGACTATTAAAGACTGTTGATGTGAACAATAAAAAGTAAATATCATATGGTATTAATAAAGGTGAAGGTAAAAAATCCAATTATCCATACCAAAAACTCGAAGAAAAAAGAAAATAGTTAAAATATTTTCTGGTAAGTATATTTATAAAATGCCCGTTAATGCCATCACTTTCCCAGTATATTATTAAATGTCTACAGACATGAGAAGAATTATCGTTGAAGAACGCGAAATGCTTTTATGGAATGCTTTTAATAAAGGATAGAGAAAAATACCGTAGGATGCAATGAATTGCTTAAAAATGCAATACGATTAATTGTTCCGGAAATAAGCATTTTAATTTCTTTGACTAGATAGTAACTTTAAAAACAAAACATTTCTAAGAAAACTTCTTTGATAATGATTTTTTCTTTTTTTGAAAGTAAATCAGAATAAATTAAAGAAAAACCCTTGTGTGTGTGTGTTTTTTTTTGTGCCTAGCACCGGTATCTGAATTGGCCAATCAAAGCTCTTTGTACTACTAATTTCTCCACACTGTACTTAAATACAAGACTAGACGAATTTTCAATTAGTGCTGCGGAATTCAATTTTGTTGCTATTTTGCTAAATCACACGTATGGATGATCTTCAATTTAATGTTTTAGAACAACGTCAGTGTACGACACAAGATGACAAAACTTTAAAACTATTTTAACTGTGCTACACATAAAAATTAAAACTGAAAGATAAGAAAACATTTTTTTTCATAGTCCTCTAGTCTTTTCAATTCGTTGTTGTTGAATGTATTAAAACTAATTATTAGTATTCATTCAGAACCGAAGCTATTGGATGGTATAAATGAAAGTTATTAATCAGAAATAGGGTAACATCGACGAGGTACACCCTGTTTACCCTGAATCACCTCGTCTACGATCAAACTTTTAATTACTTTCTTATAGTATTTTGAAAAGGGTAATAGCTTCTTCTTTTGGTTCTAACCGCTTTGTAGAATAAACTCTTTGGCAAATTATAATTGTTATTTTGTGAGCCGATGTAAATTGTTTAGACGTTGATCTTTGTATAGTAATTATTTGTTTCTGAACTTAACAGAATGTAAGCCACATGCAGATATTGATAAAAGATTAATGGATATAAATTTGGCTTTGATGTTTAAACCATGATGTCAAAAATAAAAATTTTTAGTAGTTTCGTGTAAAGTTAGCTAATTGAAAAGGTAGAAAGAGCTGAGGCATAAATTTTTATCGGGTGATTGTGAAACCCACGACAGCCCACCTAGCTATAATGTCCTGCATCCAGGGCCTCAATTCTGCTATTTTATGTTAACGCCAAACCAGTGTCATTTCATTGACACGCTATTGAGATGCCATTGAGACGCCATTGACATCGATCAAAAAATCAGTATTCTACTAACATAAATTCACAGTGTCAATAGACTGTCGTAATAGTAATATAGGTCATCCATGATGATATCAACAACATTGCCATACCTGGCAAATTAAATACATAATTTTCTTACAAATTAAAAATTTACCGTTTACCAAACTATTACAAATACATCGACGACATTTGTATCAGTGGCAGTTCAGTGACAAGTCATCAGGAGGCCATTGGTCTTACATAGTCAGTAGAATACGAAAAGTGCAAAACTATTCCGACGACATTCAATCGACAGTCTATTGATACAATATTAGAATAGCAGAATTGAGGCCCAGGTCTGTAACCAAATTCTGAGTATTGGCATCATCATCATCAACAGCCTTTAATAGTCCACTACTGAACATGGGCCTCTCCTTAGAAAGGAGGTTTTGGCCTACTACACCACGCTGGCCAGACGGGTTGGTATACGGTTTTTGTCAAGTTTCCCTTCTCTTTGCATTGCTGTTTTCCTGCGTAGTTTGCTCCCTTAGTCGACTCTTACGACACCCACTCAATGAATATGGGTGGTGACACTCCGTATTCTTAGTCCGTCACCACACCGACATTTTATCAGAAGGTTATTTTTATTATCACAAACTTTTAGTTAATACATAGAACTGATAAATTAAATTGAGGAAAATATTTTTAATGTAATGAGAGAAAGCCATTACATTACCTGAATAAAATGACTTGGGTTAACCTGAAATGTTCTTCTCACTCATCAGCTAATGGGATTTTTCTGCATCTTCACTTAAGTAGGTATATTACACAACTCCATATTAAATACAGTAACTAAATTCGTTTGCAAATAATTTGAGCGCAGTCACCCGGAAATCAGCAAATATGGAACGCGGCCAAAGTCTCCGTTACAATTAAGTGAAGATAACATTTCTATCTGTTGCCCAGTGGTAACGTCGGGTATATAAAATTGGATAGGCGGGGTTCGGTCCCAAATCACCGATACGGGTAACACTCAGTCTTTTATATGGCCGTTTCCTAAAAACTTTTAAGTGGAAATAAAACGGTGGTTTTTTATTCTGTTTGCATTTTAAACGTACCACACTGTTTTTATCTCGGTTTTATTGCTTAGGGCGCAACTTGTGGCCTCTTGAGAGCTCTAAATATAGTTTTACAAGAAGGTGACTTAATACGCTTTCAGGTAATTGCAAATTTTGTAGTGACGTATTGAATCTCTCAACGCCTCTGCGAAATGTTTAACAATTAAATATAGATAACACTTTTCACATTTTCCTTAGTTTAACTTGAGAGTATGAGACATCTCCAAAACTGCGGTCTGCTCACAAACTAGTCAGTGCCTGTACTTTTGTATTAGATTAAATAGACTATTGACAAACATGAACATAAATTACATCTCGATGCCGAACAAAGAACAAATGATAGTGGTTGTCACACTATAACTTATGAGAGGGAAAACAAGTCCTGAAGGATCTGATGAAGTAACGGAATGTAGCGGTAGAATTAATTTTAGGTTAATTAGCTAATTCTATATTACATGTTGATTCGTTTGTCCTCAGTGCCACCGAATATTCTCGATGAAGATAGTACGCAATCAGCTGTAGCAGTTCGTGAAAATCAGAACATCAGCCTGGTGTGCAAAGCGGATGGATTCCCTACACCTAAGATCATGTGGCGTCGTGAAGATGGACAGCCTATATCTGTGGACAGGAGGAAGAAAGGTTTGTACTCACTTTTAACTCTTTTCTACACAACAGACAGAGAAATATAAAGTCAAGCAGTACTTATTTAGGGCTTAATAACGATGAACGATGGCGTAGTGGTTTAGGCGGTCGCCACGCCGCTCATTACTACGCTTAGTGTCGTGTGGGGATCGGACCCACAAGGGTCCGATCTCCAAACGACACTTTGTGTGATCAGCAAATTGTTGTTCTGAGTCTGGACTCAGAACAACAATTTGTAGATCACACAAAGTGTTTACACAAAGAACACCCAGGTGTGTGTGTTTTTGTGTCCGTCTCGTGTATGTTTGTAAAGTCCCCCACGACACAGGATAAATTCCTAATGCGTTAGTTGTCTTTAAAAAAAAAACTGTGGGACATTAAAATATATTCTTCTGCGAAAATAAATAAAAAAGAGATTTTATTAAATTTTTACGTAAAAAAGTTATATGTAGGAACTAGTATTTATACAAGTTTAAATACCATTCAACTCTTCTAAACTAATTTTTTACATTATATCTGAGAAATATTAGCGTTATAACATGTTTGTGGATTTATGTATAGACACAATAAGTTTAACCTTACATTTTGGAATGCATAAGACACACACTGATGAGTAAAATTTCCTTTAAATATTACGTGGTCAGCTTTCTTTAAACATTTCACTTTATGTCATAGTTCATCTAAGTGATCGTTTTTGTAAAGCTGTATGAAATAATAAAATATGTTTTTATTCATAGACTTGATATGAATTAAACCTTACAATTTTGCTCATTGCTCTATGTCTCACTGCTCATTAAACAGATAGCCTATTCAAAAAGATGGCCTATTCAAACGTAATAGATATGATTTTATAAAAAACTAATATAGTGGTCTCGTATTCGAACAGTTCTTTTTATTCTTCGATTACGTCGTCCTGAGTTTTATAAAGCGTTACGTACAATAAACGTGAAATGTGCGTTTGGTACTTGGTTTTAATTCTATAATAAAAGTAAAGAGACCATCTCGTACCTTTCTTCTTGTTATACCTTTACGGGAGAGAATTCCAGACGGAGTGTCATGATTGTGGACGTCCTTTACTATAATCGTGACATCTTTGAAAAAATGGTTCAGGTGTATCTGTTTTGATTACGGTTCGGTTATTTTTTCACCTACTTCAAAAAAGAAGGAGGTTTCCAATTAAAATTTAACGTTGATTATATATTTGTGTGTTATTAATAAAAGAGCTGATCCGTCCAATTTTACCCGCATCTCTCAAATTTTAAAAAAAATCCCCGCTTTTCAACATTTTGCATTGATGATAGGCTCCTATTGGTCATAAAGTGATGTGTATGTCCTATGCCTTCCGCGATATATTTTATTTAAAACTCCCAATTTTAAATAAAATATATCGGGGAAGGAAGTACGCGGGACTTACGTAAGAGGGACTTACATAAGCGAGACTAAAATATAATCGACAAAATGTAGGCGTTTAATACGTCTCTGTCCGCTCTTTGTGTTACACGATGTTATGAAATAACTTCATTCATTTGTAAATAAATTTCAATCATTCTTTTTTTTTTATTAATTTAGTTCTACTTAAGATCGGTTATTTTAATTCGTGATAAATAAATCAACCTGATCTATTTGAGTGAGTTTAAAAATAACAAATTGAAAAAACAATTTGCCGGTGACTTCTATTTTTAAAAGTTACTTGTTGAACGAATCTAATTTTGATAATTTAACAAAGGAATTGTGGCTTAAGCTTTCTTATTGATTCTGTTTATATTTCCAAAACCAGTTCTCAAAAAGAATCTTTAATTCCCTGCTATATTTGACTGACTTCTAAATCATCACTGGATCTGTCTCATATCGACACGGTGTCCAAAAAGGTCTATTACAAATTCCACCCACTATAGCAAGTTCGTAACCACTATATACCGATGGAACATGTTGCTGAATATAATATATTTTAACAATCCGCAAAGCACAGCTGTTCCCAGTTAGCTACACCGTTCTATAGTACAGGGTTTCCAGTTTGAATTAAATATTTATAGGATTATTTTGAAGGATTGCACTAATTAGATCAAATAAATGAAAAACCTTAAATTTGTTAGTCTTTTCCGTTTAGTCATATATAGATGTACAACATATAATACATACATATATTATAGTCTTTTAATGTTTGACTTTGAATTTGACTGCATGGATGTCGTAGTGGTTTAAGCGGTCACTACTGCGTCTAGTGTTGTGGGTTCAAACCCCACATGGGACGACACTTTGTGTGTCCGTTTCATGTATGTTTGTAAAGAATGTATTCCTAATGCGGGAGTTGTCGTTAAAAAATATGGTTTGGAGTTTTTATGATGTTTAAAGTGAAGTTTTGAAGTGAAGTTTTATTATCACTTAAGCGTATTGAAATCGGTTATACTTTATTAAGTTAATTACTGCTAAAATGTAAGTTGCTACTGCTTGAAGTTTTTTATAAGCAAATAAGCAGAAGGTTCACCTGATGGTAAGTGATTACCGCCGCCCATGAACGCTTGCAACTCACGAGTCACAAGTGGATTGCTACCCTTTGAGTTCCCCTCGAGAATAAGGGATGATCTCTGATAACCTTCATAATAATAAGCCACGAAAGTACAGGCGATGTCAACTCTGGCATACCCATACAACAGTAGAAATTATATTAAAGATATATGTATAAGTGATTACCATGTCAAGTTACCTCTGTGCGTACTTAAATACCTATTATAAACTTGAGATTTTAATTTTTATCATTTTTATATACCGAGTGTTACTCTTGCATCTTTCAATACCTCCCAAAACCAAAACCCATCAAGCCGTTTAAAATACAGAGCGCATCAAATAAATATACATATAGCACACATTACACTCGAAAAAACATTCTGGCACAGTCAGGTAAATATCAGAAACAAAGGCATACGAAATATAAATATTTACACAACCCGCTCTCACTGTACTATTAAGAAACAAAAGTCCGACTTGAAGATAATTACGGTGCATAAAGCAGATTTGTGTCCGCCAATTAGAGCTCAAGAATTTGCTAACAAAACCTTCCAAAAATTGAGTTTAATTTTAAGAGCGATTTCCTTGTACAGAGCTAAATTAACGTATGGTGTTGGATCACTCTTGTCGCTAATTGTGTGTGACCCTCTCCCTTCCTGTCATTCCCACTCGTATTTTCAAAGGTTATACAGACAGATGTTTTAATTACACGGCCACCATCGAAAACCGCAGGTTTTCGATTATATACGTGTTAATCTTTTGTCTGAATTAATACGGTCGAGGTGTACCCTTTTTACTCGCGGTTTTAATGGCAGGAGTTGAGTGCGGCCGCGTTGATGAATAAAAGTTGTTATCACGAGTGGTTTTTTTTACTGAAAACGTCAAGTTTCAAGAGCAAGCCTTGTTTGGAACTGAGCTTGTCGTAATACAGACCTATTTTACAATAACATTGGTATAAAAACTCAACTCAAGGAAATATGGGAATATCTAAACGTTTATTTTGATACAATAAAAAAAATCATAAAACAATATTATCTTTATAGTGAGAAAATAACAGAAAGAACTTGTTAAGATTAAGGCACAATAAATAAATAATTCAAATGATAGAATAACGAAATCTTTATTCCCTTGACTACCTACATACTTTTAACTTTTTTTTACTGCAACTAAATAGCTAATTTAAAACAAAAACATCACATGTCAGTATTTTTACAATATTTTAGGCAATAACATTAAAGCCATATGTGTCTAACATAAATTCACACAAATTCATAAAAATTCAGTAAAGTGAAGATGGTATATGAAGGAATAAGTAACTGTGCCTTGAATAATAATGGGGTACGTGTAAGGAAATTTCTGCACCAATAATTTTATACGCATTTTATTAACTAATAAAATTTCAACAAAAACTGAAGCTAACTGCTCCATAGTGGTGTACTACAGCGTTATAAGAAAAGTGTTTTCATTATGTGATTGAAAAACTGACAGACAGTTGAAATATGGAATGAAGAGGGTTACGTTTTTTTACGTTCTTCAAAAAGGATAGACGTAACAGTTGCTTACTGGTCAAGGACGAACCCATTGTGTTGATTGTGTCCGATTAGAATTAGATATTTTACTTGCAGTGTTTTAGAAATTATAAAGTTACAAAAACAAACCTTCAAGAAAAGAACGCACTTCTTCCTAAAAGCCGGAAACGCGTTTGTGATTCCTGAGTTGCAGACGTTCATGGGCGGCGATAGTCACTTTCTATCAGGTGACCCGATTGCTGGTCTGCCCCCTCTAACATAAAAAAAAAACGACGGGTTGCACTCCGGGAGTGCCGGCAGAAGTGAAAACTTGAATATTAACGTTGATCATTTTTGATATTTTGGAATGGTTAGGGAATAATTTTGCACGAATTGCTTTAATTATCAGTATAAAAGTACTATCATTTATGTGGTATCATATCGCGCTATCATACACAAACATGACACCATCCATGGATGCGCGTGGCACGCTGTAACATAAAAACACAGCGCCTTGCGCCGCCTAAACGAAACAGCAGGCGCAGGCATACATTTTCGCCGCGCCGTAGAAAGAGAGGGGGATACTTCCTCTCCTACTCTCCATCCGTCTTACGAATTTTCGATCAGGTCACGTGTCCTAACGCGAGTTTAACATTTTTTACCCATTACAAAAAAAGTGTACAACGCCGCTAAAGAAGTTGAATGATGAAGAATGCAGTAGCCATAGGCCACTTTAAAGCTTTTGCTTTGGCCTATGGCTACCTATGGTAATTTGCACATTAGGGTTCCTACAAAAACTTGCTACAACAATTAATTGGTTGATAAATAACTACAAATCGTACAGTACTCGTATATGCATGACAACACACTCGTAATACTTTTGCGGAATGTGGCAAGCGAGTCCGCGTGTACACCTATGACCGCAAAGTAACTATTTATGGTTAAAAACTACTACTAGTTAAAAAAAAACTTATTTCCACTTAGTATTAGTAAGATAAATATGACTCTTGTTAATTCATAACCTAAGGCTGTAATTACGTTGTAGGAGCACTGCATTGTGTAACTTGTTGTTTCAACTGAAGAATAAACCTATTAAAGAACAATAGTTATATTGTCGTTGATGACATATTCTGCTATTTATTGTGGTCTGCTAAGCAGCTAATGTTCTGCTTTATTTTAATTGTTTAGCATTGATTTAGTACTACAAGTATACCATCTAAGACTACTTTTTTTGATTGTCAAAAGATTGCTCTTCTTTGAACAGGCACTCAGTACAGTGTGCAGTCGACGAGAAAGTATTAACTTACTTAGTATTTTAGTTCAATCGTCTAAGGATTCATATGTCATTGATAGTTGATGAACCTTCTATTCGTTTACGAGTTTAATACACACTCATAGGTTCTGATAAAGTTAAAATTTAAAAAAAATGAAAATGATACACTTGAAAAAATGGTTGTTTAATGTTTCCAGTCTCGCAACAGTTTTGAAACTCATACCATTGGGTGCTAACAAATTCAAGAATCAAATCTCTGCAGTCAATTAAGATGTTACTATTAATTGTGAACAAATAACAACAAACCACACAACACAAAAAGTAGCTAAAACTTAACAACAAAATGTTACGGCAACTGATTACCAAAAGTAACTGCTTCTATAATAAACAATCTAAACAATAAAATAAACATTAAAACAAGTGCACGATGCAGGGTGAAGCACTAATTACTTAATGTATTCAAGTTGCGAGCGGCGAGCGGGTACTCATTACATTCATTGCGCTCTCGCGCGGAGACCAAACGTACCCTAATTGTAAATAGAGGCAAACTCATTTGGGCACTTGATGGCGAACGCCGGCCAAGCGGATACGAGGCAGGAATTTTTAATTTTTATAACCCAGCCTGGATTGTTTCAAATGGCTATAACGCGAGTAGTTTTATAACAGCTTCAATCTCAGTTTAACTAATTAGTAGTAGCTTATCTTTGGTTTTAAAATTTTACATATCTTTACGGCATAATTTTTCAAATGTTAAAAAAATTTCATTACTTTTACTGATCGTCACCAAGGATGATGAAAAATTACAATTACAAATTCAATTTTTATTCATTTACAAAACAGCCGATTCTTGATCAAATACTTGCATACGGCCACGCATCATTGTCTATGGAGGTAGGCAGAGATGACGAGATGTTGAGAAAACATCTTTTACCACGATCCTGACATACGTTTCCTGCCTCTTTCACATTAATCAGGCCTATCACACACTTCGAAGGAAAGTTATTATCGGTAATGTTGGAGGTCAATTGTAATTACTTAATATTAAAGAAAAATTTATGCAATAAATTCCAAGTAACCTTACATTACTTACATTCAACTACAAAAAGTGATTATTATTCAACGTGGTAGTAATAATACAAAGGTCAAGGCTACAAAAGAGACACACCCTACAGTCTCCTTAACTTAATTCTTAACTAAAGGAATTCAGAGGCGTACATTCATAATTATAAAATCGCTTATCTCTGCGCTTTGGGACGCAAACTTTTAAACCAGAACTCCGTTTATTTCAAAAGACTCTAGTCCAAAATATAGTAATGTGAATAAAAAAAATCGAATGTAATGTCGTACTCGGATTTGGAATAATATTTTTATTGTATATACCGAATAAATGCTTAATATAAAGAATCTTAATAAAAAATATTTAAACCTTAAATTTTAACCAGGAAAAATGATTCTTGTACTGATATCTTTATATTCTTCCAGTGACGGTGTACGAAGGAGACACCCTGAGCCTACAGCGCATCAGTCGCACGGAAATGGGGGCGTATCTCTGCATCGCTACCAACGCAGTACCACCTTCTGTGTCCAAGAGGATCATTGTCGATGTCGAATGTGAGTACTACTTTAGTTTGTAAACTTGACTAAACTACAAAACTTAGTGTGAAATGATCACCGCTAGTTTCGATCTCTATTATATTTAGGTATTTATTTGACATTTTGTAAGTATAATTATGGCTGGCTGGATGCGGAGCTGGATGCGAGAAGCCCAAAATCGATCTAAGTGGCGTGCAATGGGAGAGACCTATGTCCAGTAGTGGACTGCGATAGGCTGATGATGATGATGATAAAGTAAAATTAGCACTACTAAATATGTTAGTGTTATTATTAATTTGTTAGCTACATTTCAGATTTTATAGAGTTGTTTAAAGATAAGATATTTTATAAAGTATGTACAAAACTATTTCAAACATAGATTTCAGTATTTTTGAATGAGGGCTCGCGGTACATCTGTAGAGAAAAAAATATTTAAGTGTAACACTTTATTTACTGATATTTTTAAAACAAACTTAGCAATAGTATCTTTGTTAGTTAGAATCTGTTCTTTTTAATTCTTCCAAATGTACTGTTTACTCGGATTCAGTGCAAGTAATCGTATCTAAAATGACACAAAATCCCGAGTTAATCTCCATTGTCTTACAAAGTACGCTAGTTCTCTCACAAGTTGTACCATTAGTCATAAGATTACCATTACTAATTCAATGAAATTCTAAAAGAGTGAGAGAGCTCAATCCGAATGAAACAATGTAGCAAATGAGAGAAATGTCTATCAGTATATTATAAAGCCTTAAATATAAATGGAATGGAAAACTTTTCTCGCTAATTTTTATACGTACTATATGGATTAATTTGCAAGATACTAAAATTCAAGGTTTTACTCCAAACAAAAAAATAATCTACATAATTTATGTTAATATTAGTTTAAAATAAATAGCGATTGTGAAAACATATATCTATATTAGATTATTGTATACATAACATCAACAGGAATATGATTTTTTTTAAAACAACCGTGGAGATTATGACAAAATCTTGTAAATTCCTATGTAATATATAGAAATATAAAGTATAACAAACATATAAGTCAGTGCTAACAGTAACATCTGTTAAGTAACTTTATGAAGAAACTACTAAAATGGCAGTACTTATAACAGTTTTCAATAAACGAAACATATGCAGTTGACCAACCAACTAAGAATTCATAAAACCGTAAAGAAGTGATCTGTCTTAAAACCTCACTTTTTAATTCTATTTAACCTCTTTCCGTGTGGTGACGGATTAAGAATACGGAGTGTTGTATGTGTGTATGTCGTAAGAGCCGACTAAGGGAACAAACTATCCAGAACAACAACAGTGCAAAGAGAAAAACTTTATACCAACTCGTCTGGCCAGGTTGGTATGGTAGGCCAGAACATTCTTTCTAAGGACAGGCCTATGTCCAGCAGTGGACTGTTAAAAGATGTTCATGATGATGATTATAAGTTCATCAGTCGTAACAAAGTTCTGTAGTGAGTGTTAATTTCCAAGTTTAATTGATAAATGATTTACATTTGCTACTAAAACATTAATGTTGTTTCAATTCCATTTATACTATTTAGAACCTAATGTAGTCCAATTATCCTGTCGATGTCTCCAAACAGCTTTCTTAAGGTTCATCCTTCTATTTAACCTCATATTCCTCCAGCTTAGAATCTGTGGGAATAGCGTGTAAAAGGGTGAGGCACCTAACGGTTGTAATCCGGAATTGGCTCACGTCCGCCCGCTATTGCCGCATTACAAGCTTAGTATATTGTTATGTCATTATTGATTTTGACTCCAACTGAGCGAGCGACTAAGCACTGGTTTTAAAGGAAAAGATTTCAATCTTGATAACTATAGTAACGACTTTCTATCTAAAGCTTATTTACAAAAAAATATTACAATATATTATAATTATGTACATGGGTATGACATCTGCAATTGTCTTAGGTAGTGTCTTAGCAAGCCACTCTAACGTTATTGATGAGTTATATTTCAAAGTCTTCAAGAGAGCATGTGGTGTTACAAGCGTAGGGTAAGGGGGGACCGCAGTATCTTGTGGGGTTGGTGGACCTACTCGTTCTATGTATACCTGGATATTGCAACATTGAACTACTAATACACAATTCATTTATTATCGTAGCCGGCTACCATCATCAAACATTTTTTTCTTAAATTTATGTTGCTTTGTTTTATTTTCATAAATTACTAGAGTGATAATGAAGAATTTGAAATTTAAAGTAATACTAACATTCTAATGTAGTTTTTACCGCTGCTTCAGCTTGTATGCTTAATTTTTCACAAGACTAAGAAAATACACTATAATATTAAAATTGTTGATATTTCAGAAGTGTTACAAAAATATTTTCATTAATATATATATATCCGTCTGGCCAGCGTGGTATAGTAGGCCAAAACCTCTTTTCTAAGGAGAGGCCTATGTCCAGTAGTGGACTATTAAAGGCTGTTGATAATGATGATGAATATATATATAAAGAGTTTTTTTTTAACTGTAGTAAATTGAAAACACCTTTGTATGAGTTGTTTGTAGCACATATAATTTACTTCGGTAAATATTATTATTACATAGTATTCTTATTGTTCCGGTAGCTTTTTTAACTTAGTTGAGAAACTAATTACTTTGAAAGAACTCTCATGTGAGTCTAACAACACAAATATTAAGATATTTTGATTTACAAAGTAAACCGTAGCAAATAATATATTTACGAGCCATTCAATACTATTTACTACAATAATAGTAATCTTTATTAAATCATCATTAGCACTTTTACATAGAAGCACTGACCCCTGAACTAGATGCATAACCTGTATTAGGGGGCAGATTCCTTTCCACATTACATGTTACATTTAGAAATACAGAAGGACACCAAGTTATACGAAAAAGAAAAATGTTGCAATGAATGAAAAAAAAAACATATTACGGTTTTTTATTACTTATAGGAATGCATATGATTATTAGTGGTTGAATTCATGCGTGTGTGTGTATTTGTGCATGTGTGTATTTGTGTGTGTGTGTGTGTGGCCACATACTGTGTGTATAATATACTATTACAAATATTAAGCTTGTAAAATATTTTTTTATTTTTTTTATTCCCCTTTCTTATGAATGAATTTCTTGTCGGCATATATAATCATAGAAATACTGAAATGCTTCTCTCATATGAGAAACAATAGTTATTACAATGTCACAACTCAACCAGCTTGAATAAGCTAAAATAAACCTTAAACAGTTGGCTTCCGATATCGTACAATAACAAGGAATACTTAGGTATGTCTCGTGTAGTGTACTTTATGATACGAGTCGATTTACAAAAATACATGACACTGAAAATATTTTATAACGTTATGTATAAAACTTGATAAAAAGTGAGTCCTTTAAATACTGACATCTATAGTTAAACCGCCGTAAGCTTGGCCCTCCTGATGGTTTAGGGGACGCGGGGCGGGGGTGCATTCAACCAATTAGCTAGTGCGTCACTGTCCACCGGCAGTGACTGACGTGAAAGCATGGCTGTACGTGTTATTTTTCTTAAGGCTGCTACACAGGGTATTATTTTGCAACATGGATAATCTGCTGACTCTACGTCACAAAAAGATTTAAAAACTTGAAGTTCGGCTTACAGAGGCTCTACTGTTAAAGTTCTGATAAAGAATATTTATTATTTTAGTTAATTTTTAAATTGTATCTGAATATAATTTACATGATGAAGATAAGGTGATTTTAGTAAAATTATTTTACAGTATTAAATTTTACAATTAATCATAAAAACTTACAATACACTGAAATTATAATACATGAAAATAAATTCGATTTTTATTACATCGTGTGTAGATTAAATCTCAAACAAATAAATCTGAAGATATCGAGTTAGTAGGTACATTGTGTCATGTATAGCCGAGCGCATCACCCGCCCCGCGTCCCGCAAACCATCAGAAGAGCCAAGCTTACGGCGGTTTAACTATAGTTGCATTGCACTTCGATTTTTGAAAACAATTGAAGAACTCTATAGAGTAGCCAAAAGTCGTGGTACGATCCTTAATGGCATTGGATGGAATCATCCAGTTATACAGTACAGCAGTCGCATCACTATATACTCGTACATGACATTTGAAATCACCTGCCATCTGAAGAAGAGCACGTACACGGGTGCTCTTTTTAACATCCAGTTACACATTGACTAAGACCTCGGACTTGTTGCCAAGTGGCTGCGGGTTCGAATCTCTATCAGTACGCTTACGTCGTGAACACCTGATACCTAGTAATAACAAGAATGTTAGTGGTTTACGACTTACTTTGGTGGTAAAAATGTTCTTTAAAACTTATTTGCACTTAACAATATTTTAAAATAAGACCTAGTGAGCAGAAAAGATATAACTCCCAAATTATGGTTTAGTTATTGTCTTGTATTCTGTTGTATTTTATAAAAAAAATATATTTTCTTTGACAATTTTTTCCTCTTTCCTGTTGTAATTTAAATGTGCCTTTTTATGCTCCAAATATTTTTTTTATTTCTTTCTGCATAGTTTAAATGAATGTTGGCAAAGTGCCTCACAATAGAATACAAAAGCAAAAGTGTGTGGCTCTCTTGTAAATTGACTTTTTTATAACCACTATTACGACAGAATTGCATCTTATTCAACAACTGAAAAAAGTAATATAATTTTTTTTACGGTTCCCACATAGTCCGAGAATTCACACTGTACTGTAATAAAATTAAAAATTTAACGCTTAAACCTAAACCTTGAATACGTAGATTCGAAGCATAGACCTATGGGTTTCATGCTTGTCAGAGATCATTGTCGTAAAAATTCTTTATACAGCCATAGGCCTATCCATAGGTGCGTTATCGGAGGCGATATCGCCACTCAGTCTTACCATGAACCCTGTCTATCTTTCCTTGACCTCGCTTACACAGTTGTAAGAAAATAGCTAGACTGTTTTATGTATATTCAGATGCAAATTTAAGTCTTCTGAAGCGCTTAAAGAGATTGTATTTTTATAGCAAATATAATAG